AATCAAAAGACCAAAACCTGAAATTATTCCGTTTTCTATTGGGATAAAGAAAAAAAGAGACAAATCCTCACAAATGGAAAGCTGGGGCTAGGAACTAATCTAATAATCGCTTCAGGTGTGATAAGAACTGAAGAAAATATCTATATTAAAATAGATGGGACCTACTTTCTACATTGTAAATTCATACCGCACAACGCCGTTTCATGACTTAGTAAAACTGGGTTTAGCCAGGCTTCGTTTTGTTGTGTGACGCAAAATCTTCTCACGGAAGTAACGGCTAATTATTGCCCGAAAACCATTTAGTTTACTGCTTTCCACACCAAACCTTACATAATGTTACATTTGCGCCAAACATCGCATTAAAGTAAGAATTAAGGGGTGCCATACAACACTTCAGCAAAGTACTGTTTTGTTTGACAGATCCAAGACTGTTGTGAGGCGTACTTGGCACTGGCACAAGAGATTGCGCAGATGCTGAAGAGCCAAATGCGCCAAGGCCACACTCGCCGCGGCGTGGAGATAAATAACCGCAGCACTACTACCAGAGGTTTTACTATGTTGAATACACACCACCCTAAAGCAGTCGTCAGGACTCAGTCAGTGACATGTATACAAAGATAAATACGAGAAGACATAGGCTTCTTACCAAATATCAGTGGCAGGTCTTCTTTCCTGTGAGGAGGTCGAAAAGCTGTGGCTTGCGTTGTTAGCAAAACAAACAGTTAGCTAGCTGTCAAGCTAAATTTGTTCAGGATAACGGAGCTAGCTGATGTTTTACTGTTATTAAAATTTGATCTGATGTTGTCGATTGAAATCTGAGTGATCAGAGCTATTAGTCCCGTCCAGTGGTGTTTGAAGACAGTTAGAAAGGTTGCCGTTCAAGCACTGTTGAAGCAGGTAACCTTCACTGTCCGCTAACGAGAGGATCAACTGAGCGTCGCAGCTGAACGTCCACACATAAACGTGTGCTACGGACCGTGACGTCAGAGCGCGGGCGGGGGTTACGGAGACTGCGCAGTGACTTGAGCCTCCATTCATGTTTTTGTTTTGAGGTTTTTCCACAGTGGTGGAAAGTTACCTAGAACATTTACTCTAGAACAGTTTTGTGGTACTTGTGTACATGAGTATTTCTATTTTATTCTACTCTGCACGTCTACTTCAGCAGGGGTGGAAGAAGTACTCAGATCCTTTACTTAAGTAAAAGTACCAAAAAAAGAAAAAAATTACTCCATTACAAGTAAAAGCTCAGCATCTGCAGCCCTACTTAAGTAAAAGTACAGAGGTATCATCAGCAAAATTTAGTATTAAAGTCAAGATTGTCATACTGCAGAAAATCAGCCCATGTGACATAATCAAAAATTACATTATTGATACTGGTGCATAAATGTGTAAGTAGAATTTTACTGTTGTGGCTGCTTGGGGTTTTTTTTTAACTACTTTGTACTTAGAGTTGTTTGGTTTAGTCCAGTGGTTCAGGCCCCAAAGGCTCACAAGAAAAATCCAAGGCATTATGAATAAAAAACAAAGTTTAACTACACAAATTTGGATTCAATTTTTTCAGACTTTTTTTGTGAAATATATCAAAGAGTTACCAATGGATAGCTGTTTTGGATAGCTGTCACCAAGTGTCTTGGATAGAACAGCTTACAACTTAGTAAAATACCTCAAAGTTGTACTTGCAGTAAATACAGTTCTTGAGTAAATTTTTACATGACATCTTGACTAGATGCAACATTAAAATGCTGTCAATGATAACTTTTATTTTTGATATTTTAAGTACATTTTGTTGGTGATACTTAGGTTTTACCAACAAAATGTAGGCTTTAGGCTACTTATTTCTGTTTTTCTTTCTACATTGTATGTCCTTAATGGACCACCCATCACGATTTAGAAAAACAGGACATGGTGAAGAAAAACATAAATAATAAGGATTTATCATTTACTTTTCTAATGAACCTACTGAGTGAAAGGTAAGAAATGGACTAAAGTTACATGAATTAGGCATAGATAGAATGGAGGACTAACAATCTCTAAAGCATACAACACTTTCTGTCCACAGACTCAAGAAACAAAAGAACTCAGACACAGACATACATCTTCTTAGTCAGCGTTGAACACATGACTTGGCACTTGTGACTTTTTTCAGTGACATTAGCAAATTGCAAAAGTTTGAGATTAAGTAACCGTCTTTAGTCACACACCATGCCATGACTAATTGGCTGATTAAGAAATATGAGTTGCGTTGATAAAAGTTCATAGTTGAAGATTATTCCATTGTTGCCCCAGGTTCATCTATTCAAATGACATAACAAGGATCCTGCTTCATCACCTGATTTTACCCCTATGAGGGCCCCTGTGTCAAAATTTCATTTTAAGGTGATATTGATACTGTGCTTACATTGTACATGTTCCTAAAGTGTGGGTGTAGTTTCAGAGACAGAGGTGCCCAAAAGTTAGCTAAAATAAAAAAAAAGGAAACATAATCATCTGTATTTGTAACAATAGACATGGCTAACACAGGCTGCAGTACTTTCTGTAAGGCTTGCATGGTCCTCAAGATCCATTTATAACATATGTTCCACTTAGGGCCATAATTGGGTTTACAGCCTGCCAGTGTTAACTTAGCACCAAAGATATGAAGGCATTGTGTTTATTAGAGGACACAGCCTGAGAGCTGCAACAAACATATGTGCCTTAGATAATGTAATCAGGTCTGTAAGAGTACACAGTTAAGTGTGGTTTTCAGTAATTCAGTCATACTCTATTAGTACAGACATGTTTTGGAACACTGTGTCGTAGATCATAATGTTCAGTTTTAGTGGAGAGGCAGTCAGCATAAGACACACTGCACTTGGTCCAAAGGTTTAAAATCTGATTAAAGGTCTGTTGCTGCCATATGTGCAGTTTGGTTGTATCCCCTCCCCTTATTCTAAAGTGTGTGTGTGTGTCTGTTACAATTGAAATTGGTTTCCTGTGTAATTTATAGATTATTAAGCTGCTGTAAATAATCAACATTCAGGATATTGACCCTTGAACCTAAATCTAATGAACTGAGCTGAACTGACCTGAGTAAACCTTAGTACCCATGAAGGCTCTTTGCTCTTCATCAGTTTCAGCTGTGTTATTTATCAGTTACGACTGCTGTCAGTAACATTAAGCCACGTTGTTGGAGGGGAGCTTGAATCTCTGACAGCAGTGTCAGAGAGGAGAATACTGTCCAAGATAAGGACAATACTTGACAACTCTTCACACCCTCTCCTCAATGTGCTGATCAGACACAGGAGCAAGTTCAGCCAGAGACTTATCCCCCCATGTTGCACTACAGAGCAAAATCATTCCTGCCTGTGGCCATCAATCTGTTCAACTCTTCCCTCTGAGAATCGATCAGTCAATTGATTGATCCCTGGACAGTTTAAGACAAATTTCACTGTTTACTGTAAATAGCATGTAAATAATAATAACTATGTATATAATGTTCTCTCTTTTTACATTTGAATATGGGGGGGGGGTTATATTTTTATTATATTTGTATGTGTGGAATATGTGTGTATGTGTGGAGCACTGTAACACAACAATTTCCCGCAGGGAATTAATAAAGTATTTCTTATTCCGATTCTGATTTGATTCTGAATAGTTGGATAGCTGTTTTGTAATGAACTATCATGTCTGTCCCCATCAAAAATCTTAACCTACATGCATTGTAACAGGATCTTTCCAGGCCAAATTCAATGCACTAAATATTATTTATTCATTTTCAAATAGCCTTGTTTATACTGTAAAGGTACAATTTGAATCTGTTTTTAAATGTAAGAATATGAGATGCATATAAAAACTTTTTGCCTGGGACTAACTACTGATGTGTGTTTGTGTTCTTCAGGAACAGCAACAATGAAATATCCTCTCCATCTCATTTTACGTTAGAGCCCTATTCCATTATGGAGATCACTTTCAAGCCAACACGACTTTGATCGTGAGTGTTGATACTGAAACTTGGTTATTATATTATTTTTATCCACAAACCCTAGCTGTGCTGTCTCTCATTCAAAATGAATGTGCACTTTATATGTGTCTGACGTAACTTATCGCATGGTAATGGACTCACTGCAGCTGACGCAGGAATGACTACGTGCCGCTGCAGGCGTGCAGACCAGCTGCACCCGTTGGTCGGTTTTTTTTTTTTTTTCATTTTAAATATGGCAGTAAATGAAATTGTACTGGTATGGACAAGCTGGTTTAGGGATCCACGTCTATCTTCACCGATAATTGAGTGTTTTAGTGTCCAACATGAGGGACGTAAGGATCCGTTGCCTCCTGTGCACCAAGAGAAATTCAATAGCGCCATCTCTTGGTCAAATGGCTCAATTACATCATCCAGGAACCACTACCGGGAAGCGAGTTTGACAGTTGCTCTGGTATCCTACAGCATTGGTTCTTTTTCACATCGAAGACCCGGAAACTGACACAAATTAAACCATGGACCCCTATTTGATGCGGTTTTGTCCCTGGGTGTCCTATCTGATAAGATTTTTAGCTTTTACATGTTTCATTAGTGTTTGAAACCCATGATCATACATTCTGTCATTGTCTTACTCAAGGATGGAATTACAGAGAAAATAAAATTATTCCCCTTTTTACTGGGAACCCCGAGTAACAACTTCCTCAGTGAGTCCTGTGGGTCCGAGATCCCACCTTGAGACCCACTGTCCTACGCACAATTAGAGCTGGAGACTAACACTGTCAACCCACATGTCACATATTAACACTGGACCTCTGAACCTGATCAACTATGAATTTTGTTTCTGTGGCAGCTCATAACCAAGTTTGAACATGCATAAACTAGTCAAATGCATTTTAAACTTTCATTTAATAAAAATCTTACAATGTTTGCATTACTATAAACTGTGTCAAAAACCATTTTTATATCCTACTGAATACCGATAAGATTTGGTTTACTTAGTTTCTGCAGTAAAATAAGACATTTAAACAGTTGAGTTTTTTTTTTTTATAAACTTTATTCATCTTTTGAAAAGGTTTAGTCGAACAGGCCGAATCCCATGTCGTCATCGGACTCCTCAGACTCTTCTTTCTTCTCTTCCTTCTTCTCCTCAGCTGCAAAACAAAAAGCACAATAATATTTTATGCTATAATCAGCAAAGCACATTTAGGTACTACGCTTATGAGGAGACCAAGGTAATTCACGCAATCTTTAGAAAACATTTGTCAGTCATTATTGGGTTTACAAGACAAACTTGTTAATGTGAAGTTACTGTTACTCTTCCCTATGAATATGCAAATTATGACACCAATTTTTTTTTCTCTAAATTACCACACTAAAAACCTTAATTATGTAGTTTTTGAAACATTTAACTCTAAAAAAGCAACTTATGATGACTAATTTGATTTGACGTAATTATCTTAGCATAGAAAGTGAGGGTAATGGTACTGTGTGCCAAGTGTCACTGATGCGGACAAACAAGGTGCTAAGCTGCAATGCTCACCTGCAGCAGGGGCTGCAGCTCCGCCTGAGCCAGCAGCCGCAGAGCTGGCAACGGCTGCAACGGCACCGCCTGCTGGCATGCTGGCCAGCTTACTGTAACCTGTGGAGACAAGAGTTGGCAGACATCAAGCACAAGTGATAGCATTGACACTCAGTAGCCAGAAACAAGATAGAGGTCAGGAACTGTATATGGATATCTGGCAATTTAGCTTTAGTAATACTAGCACAAACATCTTCTTTCCTGGCCTTAGAGCGATAATACTGACTTATTATACAGTTTTAGCCAACTGAACACTGCCTCTGTCTGCTTGGCCATCACATACTGAATTTTTCATCAAAGGCTGATATCAACCAAAATATCTTTAAGAAAGCATCATTAGTCACATTCATGACATTACCACAGATACAAAAAGGTACAGTAACAAAACATGTGATAAGGCATCCAGAAATCTGGTAAAATGATCCCTCAAAACTGCATTTCTTGGGTCTTGGGTGAAATGATCATTCAGTGCTCAGTCACTTGTATTTAGGATTCAACTCCTGCCTGCCCCCTCCCTTGAATTGTCAGATCACATCTACTAGCAAAACCAAAACTATAAAAAAAAAACTAAAAATCAGCACACAGGCACAACACACTGACAAATGGCCCAGAGGTAAACTCACCTGTGGTGATCACCTCATTCACATTCTTGCCCTTGAGCTCAGCAATGACCTGTGGAGAAAGATCAAATTAGATGGGTATCACAAAGGGAAGGACCAGTTGCTGGTAAAACTGCAGCGACAACACCTGAAAACGGTGAAAAGCAGACTGCTTTGTACCTTGTCCAGGCGTGTGTCGTCGGCCTCAATGCCAACACTCTCCAGGATCTTCTTGATGTCCTTGGCCTCAGGGTTTTCATTGCCACCCAGGGCAGAAAGCAGGTAAGCAGCAACGTAACGCATCCTGAATAACAATAGGAAGGTTCAAACTCAGCAGATGTGATAGCAGACAATTCAAATTTGATCAATTTCTCCTACTCTTAACAGATTTACACTTCTCAGAAAAAAACATTAAAACCATAAATGTGGTACTTTATGTACATCTAGACACTGTCATGTAAATATTAGTCCAAACATTTGTTGTTGCCAGCTGCCAACGTTTCTACCTTCCTTGCTGATTACTTGTAGTTTCTGAAATAATCTTAGGCTGTCTAACATGTTTCAGAGCTAACCAAATATCTTAACTGAGGACTCGGGCCTGGTGTCTGAAGGAAAAACCTTCACCTTTCATTTTTTGCTGGCTCTTAACCGATTTTAAGACACATTTATGATTTGTTTAGGATTAATCCCTTGCACACTTTCAGAAATAATCTTACTCTGCTCATATGCGGGAAAAACTTTTTTTTTTTTGGGTGCGCTTCTTAAAGCTTAATTGGCCCATTTTATTGTGATTTGAACAGCATAGAATAGATCAATATCTTAATATTAAACAGCATAATCTACCAAGTCGCCATTACACAACAGACAAAATGTATTGTCAAGCTTTCGCATAACAAAGTGTCACCACAAATATTAAACATTTTGTTGGTAAGGCGATTTTGACTAATGAGCAATTGGTATGTCAGTGTAACACAGTCAAGTGCCTATTTTCTCGTTGTATAAGCAGCATCGTTTGAGTGTGAATGTTATCAACTGTTTGGCTCAATGCCTCTTGTTAAATTAATTTACATGTACTCGGAACAAACCGTTTAAAACGTGACAACAGAAACAATACAACTGCAGTTTTTACACCCATGTGGCGGCGTGTGCTTGGTGCCGTTAACATTAGCTTCAATGAGCGAGATACAGCTTGAGAGCAGAGCACAGCTGCTGGTTTCTTGTGGTGTGACCCTTTCCATTGCTGAGTCTCATGTGGAATGGTTCACTTTGTCTTTTCTGGCAACTTGAAATCAATCAACACCAAGGAGCAAACACAGCAGCCGCGATCAGGGCCTGAGGATGAAGCAGGAGGCCAACTGGATCAGGGGCCAAATCAGCAGAAGGAGCGAATAAGGAATTGATTCATGTTCATATACTGTATAACACACAATCACACATTTGACAAGTCAGAGGAGAACATTTATAGATCAAAAGATGCTGGCATTACTGAGAGGTGAGTGAAATTGTGCAGAGTTGCAAAAGCATGTTAATTAATTCTAAATTACATTCTGTGATTTGTTAAACTTAATTTCTAGAATGAACAGGACAACATGTAAAGACCTAAATGATCAGACGCAATATGGGGGAAATGACAAAAAGCTGAAAGCTGAGTAAAGCAGCCTGAATGAATCATAGTCCTAATTTAAAAAAGAAGTATTATAGGACAGTGGTTGCGATGTACATTGGATTTTTTTTATTCTGTTGTAAAAAAAAACAAAAAAAACAACAATTTCATACATGGAAGAGAAAGCCACAGAAAAAAAGTAATACAGAAAATTCTGCACCATAATGTAGTTACAAATAAAAATATTAACGAAAATTAAAAGGCCTGAATATGGTGAAATATAACAGCCTGGGTACTTCAAGTACACCCAAACAAAATCCTATCACTATTTATTTTAGAAGATCATGAAATAAATAGTGAAGCCATTCAAATATTTCATACATTTAACTGCTTTTTTCTGGTGCACTGGTGACAGTGAAAACACCATGGGGCAAAATGTAGAACAAATTATACCAGTAACAATGCAAGAGACTTATGTTAAAGAAAAATCCTCTCATAAACTCTTTCAGAGAACTGAATCTGCTGTGAGGGGATTCACAGGATTATTTAATCCTGATTTCAGCATGTTAGCCTGGATTGGTAAAGCATGGGTCCAGGTGTGGTGAACCTGCAGTTTCTACTATAAAATGTTGTAAATTGCACGCTCGGTATATGGACAGTAGGTGTCGCTTCCGCTTTTTGTTGCTATTTTCATTGATGAAGCAGAAGAAGAAGAAGAAACGAGGTTCTTCTCCGTTTCCACCCACTGACGTTTCTTCCTTTCTGTCCGCGCTAACGTCGGAGTGTAACACGCGTTTCGCCTGTCTAGCTCAAGTGAGTGTCTTTTTATAACGTAATTAACACACTAATACCGAGAAAAAAAGCATGGTATCTCCAGAAATAAGTACATTCATGCCTTGTTATCTCAAAAACCTGAACCAGCGGCATCTTGGCAGTATTTATTCCTTTTACACACCGCAGCGTCGCGGCAGCTAGCC